TTACTGGAATGATAATGATAGATTTGCAAAAGGCATTCGATACTGTTGATCATAATATTCTTTGTGGAAAACTTCATCTGATGGAAATTACCAATACAGACTGGTTTAGATCTTATCTAAATAACAGGCAACAATTAGTACATATTGGAGAGTTTTCTTCTTCTCCATCAATAGTAAATTGTGGTGTTCCTCAGGGAAGTATTTTAGGTCCATTGCTCTTTTTATGCTATGTAAATGATATGATCACCAGTATCGATTCTGAGTGTAAGCTTATTTTGTATGCTGATGACAGCACTATACTTTTTTCTCATCATGATCCTGATTTTATTTCACAGAAATTAGGTAAAGCTCTAGAATCTTGTTCAGATTGGCTAGTTGATAATAAACTGTCTCTCCACTAAAAAACTGAATGTATGATTTTTGGTCCAAAGAAAAAACTTAAAAAGATTAATAATTGTAATATTGTTTGTAATGGTCACACTATTGAATCTACTAAGACAGTCAAATATCTTGGTTTGAAAATTGAAAATCTTCTGTCTGGAGAAGAAATTGTTAATACAGTCATATCTAAAGTAAACACTAAACTTAAATTTTTGTACAGAAACAGTAAATGTCTATCATTTAACTGTAGAAAATTGCTTTGTTCTGCTTTAATCCAATGTCATTTTGACTATTCTTGTTCGTCCTGGTACGAAAGTTTAAATAAAAGTCTGAAAAAAAAAACTGCAAGTAGCTCAAAACAAAGTCATAAGGTTTATAAAAGACTACCACCCAAGAACTAGTTTAACTCCTTCTGATTTTACAGATGTTAACATGTTAAATATTGAAAACAGAGTTAAACAATTAAGACTTAATCATATGCATAAGATTTTTTATAATAAGTGTCCAACTTATATGAAAACAAATTTTGTTCGGATGTCTGATATACACAACTACAACACTAGATCAAATAAGTTTAATTTTTCAATTCCTCTTTGTAATAAGACATGTAATAGCACCTTTTTCTATAATGGTATTAAAGATTGGAATAGTTTGCCAGATGATGTAAAATGTATATCAAATCCAACTTTATATAAAACTTCTGTTAAAAGCCATCTTGCTTCAATATGGGCTGCGCAACATCAAAGTGATTTTTTATATTACTAAGTGGCGACATAAGTTCGCCAAACTTTATTATTTTTTAGTTATCTTATTTTTTCCTGTGCCTTTCTTTCTGTGATAATGCAAAACTACTGTGATTGAATAATTTGAAGGTTATCTCATTGTCTATTTTTATTTGAGGAATGAATGTCTCTCTGGTTTCATCTTGTTTCCATCTATTTGGTTAACAGGACCCCATTGGAAATAAGCACACCAGCTTAATGGGCTATCCTTGTAACCATAGATCACTATTAAACAAAACCTTTGTATTGAAATTTTATTGAAATTCTTTTATTATATTTTATATCATGTTTATCAGTAACTTTAAACAATATTCTGTGATAATTATAATTCTGACTGTTGTAGTCTTAAACTGAAATGTGATTTTATTAATTTATTTATTTACCTTTTTTTAAAATACATTTATCTAATGCCTCATCTGATCTCAGTCATTAACTAAATTTGTTTTATTTATTATTAATATGATATATGATATTTTAATTTGGATAAACTGTTATTTTATATATGTTTATATCTTATTATGTAACTGTGATCTATGTTGTTGCTAAAATAAAATAAAATAAATAAATAAATAAAGAGATTATTTAGAACAAGGGGAAGTACTCCAGTAGACGGCGCTTCTCTTATCCATGTATTAGGAGGTGAAGGCGCATTTGAAATCACTTTTCGGCTTTGAAAGCGAAGGTAACACTTCAAGCTATCCAGAAAGATAAACCGTGGCCACAAACGTCCTATATGTAAATCTCTTAAAAGCTCGGCTTCTTTGGGAATACAAAGATAGGATATAATTGCTCTAGCTGCTGAACGTCGACTATAGGGATACGTCTTATTTATCATAGAAGCTCAGCTTCTTTGATATTGGATGAACATCAGTTGTATATATTATTTTGGTGAAAATCAGTTGTATATATTATTTTGGTGAGGTGAACGATCACCAATAAATATAGAAGCCCAGCTTCTATATGATTTTGGATGACTATAAGCTGTAAATATTGTGTGCTTTTTATAAAGTGTTTTTGTGATATAGTTATTATATAATTTGTTTCTTTTCCTTATTATATAGTTTGTTCACCATATAATCAGTAATCATTACTTTGTCCAATCAATCAATGGTAAGGTAATAATGGTAATAAAAATTATATGTATAGGATCAACTGTAAATAAGTAGTTGAAGGCAATTCTCAGTTAAATAGTCTTATAATCAAAAGACCACTCGGAGATACGTTACACTAGCAAGGGCACACTGTATTGGCTAGCCGTACGGCATTTTCAAAATAATATGGATGTTGAAATGCACATGTTAGTTTATGACTTTAAGCGAGGGTTTTAACCAAGAAACAGCAAAAGTCTTCGTACATGTATATTTACATGTATATTGTCTTTTTTAGAGATTAATCGCCTTGTTGGCTAAAGTTAAAAAGTACGAATATCGATCTTTGTCATCACAACAATAGCGCTTGGTTGAGGTTAATTAACATCAATTGAAACAGTTGACACAATTTTGACGATAATTTTGTTTTTGTTTTATTAAGTTTAACTTTCGACACCTTTAAAATGAAACAAAAAAAAAAAAACAAAAAAAACACGAAAATTATTGTTGTTGGGCTCTGATAATTGCGTCAATTACCGACGGTATAGAAGTTTGTCCATCACTTAGGAAAGTTTGCATGTTCGGTGAAAAGCATTTTAAAATTCTATTGTCAGTCCGCGGATAGGTTTTAATTAAGGCTAATTAATTGATTGTGCTTTTATGTTTGATATTTATCTACTGTATTTGAAAATTATACAATTATTTTTGCTTTTCACCGTTTTTTCAATGTTCTTTTTATTTATTCCACTCCGATCATTATTTATTCGATCCATGTGCTTAATTAACAAAAATCATCTTTCATACAAATAAAACAACAAATCAAAATCATAAGGCACATAATAACATATGCATGTTCGACTTCCATATAATTTTAAAAAGTGCCGTACGGCTAGACAATACAGTGAGTCCTGACTAGTCGTACGCGACTCACGTACGGCTAGAACATTTGGCTAACCGTACGGCTAGCCACTTCCTTTCTTTTTCAATTAAGTCATTATACAATTAGATGAATCAAAAACTTGAAAAATATTTGTCGGAATTTTTTATTTACATTAATACAAAGAATGACAGATATATATCTTTATAAATGCATGTAGTATGGCCGACAAATGGTAAGTTAAATGGTAAGTTTAACAGGTAAATCACTTTACCTTGGTGTCAAAAGATATGTTTATTTTTACATTCATACGAAGCTTAGTTTACGAGCCTATTGACATGTAAGAATTTTGAAACTCGTGAATATGAAATATCGCAACGAACTAGAAGTCTTAAAACGGTTTTGTTTGTATTGTCTTAGCATAAGCAATATCGAGTTTACTCGCAATTCAGGACAGACAACTCTTGGTTTTCATTCGATATTCTTGGTTATTTATCTACGTTGTTCATGATTATGGAGGCTATTCGTTGTCAAAAATCCAGCCTTTGAAACTTGACAATGCATATTTCGGTTCTACTAAACAGATAAGTAAAAATCTAAGTGTCAATCCGAGAGTTACATACTGCACTGGTATTAAGCATTTTGATTATCTCGATTTGATAAAATGGAAGCTGTAAACATGAAACTCAGATAAATTGCAAATTGTTTTTATAAATGTATAACTTCAAATTTGCGACATGTAGAAATGTAAACGATAGAACGTGCACAAGACGTTTAATGCTGTGCATCATGACGTTGAGAATATCACTGCATCAACTTGACACACTCAGGTTTACAACACCACACTTTCTTTTTACATTATAACGCGATTAACATTTGTTAAAGATTTTGCAACTTCCATATAATGCATTATCACGGAAATAGACAAAAATTAATAGGCGGAGCCTATTTTCACGAAAGCAGAATATAAAGAGAGGTAACTCTTGCTGGTACAAAATATTTCACATACATCAACTGCATTACAGTTAACTCTGAACATCCTCTGATTTTGTTACAACGTATTCTAGTACAGGATATTCGAGTAATGCAAAATTGGTTAAGATATAATGTAACAATGTAACAACGTTTATACTGATAATGAACATAATACTATGCAAAAACTAAAGTTGGTGAATTAACATAAGGGAATGTTTTCCAAATATATTGCACATGACAATTTTTTGATATGAACGATAGGGTTTGTGTGTTTTCAAACATAATACGATTTTACTCGTGCGCATATATTTTTAAATTCAGCAAATAGTACTGGAAAGTGATACATGGAAGTCACTTTTGGCAACACGAATAAAGAGAACTGAACAGTAAGCAAGTGCCTTCATACTTTAAAGGACTATGTCGGGTTGTAGAAAAACTCATATTTTTGACCTAGTGTATAACCACAAAACAATTCAAAGTTTACTATCGATAATTCCGTTGTATAACCAAACACTTGTGAATTTGTCCCATTTTAATGTTGAAATAGTTTTTCAGTGTACCATAGCATCTCTGTTTACCTCCATTAGGAGGTATGTATTTTGAGTCATAGGATGTGATTTAGCCTTTTATTATTAAATATATGTAAGCTGACGTAGGTTAAGGTCGTTTTATGCATTATGCTGAATCAATAGCAACTCTAAAATCTGTGTGTACATGCTGTCAATAACTGTTACCTAGACTTCCTGTCTATCTGATAAAAAACGGAGAACTATTTTTATGTACATGAAATACTACACAGAAAATTTATTAAGTTTTGTAAGTGATGGCATTCTAAGAGATATGATAAACAGGTATACATAAATTGATAATCAACATACATACCTTTGGACTCATTTAATAGGGATTATCCAGAATCTCGTATTCGATAATCCTTCTTAAACACATCATCTAGCGGGTGGGTAGGTGCAGTTTAATCCGGTAAAGTAAAGTACGGAATTTAGACATACTAAGATACTCTTCAAAGGAGGCGAATCATTATCCGGGAACTTTCCGAAACAGAGTGTCCTTCAAAAACGCACCCGAAAAAGTTAAAATTTAAAGAATAAAATAATGCCAAAAAGTAAAACCAAGAAAAGGAGCGGGACAGATGCGACTGAGAATAGGCCTAAACGCAGCAGACAATCCCAAGGCGGAACACCGGTTAACAGTGCCAGTCAGGGAGGCGGCGATGTAGAAGCGCGGGAATCACCATTACAAGGTACCCGGCCGTATGTTTCATTTCCATCGCCACCCTCATTAGATTATCAACCTTTTGATTCAGTAATGGTTCATAACTCGCCAACTCAACTATCAAATCCTGTAAACATTGATGAAAATTTTCATAGTTTAGGAAGTACTATTCCTGTAAAAATAAAAGAAAAAATTTGGGCTGGAGAATTTACCGACCTGGCACTTCTGCTAAAGTCATCCCGCCAGCTTCAAGAGTATTCTGAAGAGGGTCAAATTGGGGAACTGCAGTTTAGAAACGGGAGGTTATGCGTCACAAAGCCAAGGGGGTCATATTTCAAAATGTCTATTGAACAATGGACATCGGCATTCATCGTTTTTATTAGCATTTACCTAGAGAGGTTTCCCATCAGATCCCAGGAGCTGTTAAAATACCTCCGGGATGTACGCTTAGCAGCAACAAGATCAGACTCCTGGTGGAAATATGATGAACAATTCCGCCAGGTCCAATCAAACAACCCATCTAGGTCTTGGGGCACCATTGATTTAGAACTTTGGTTGCTCTATGTAAATGGGCAATCACCTAGAGTACCTGATTTGGCAGGTCAAACCAGGAGTACTGCCTATAATAGTAAAACAACATCTCAAATTACGGACACCCCTGCAGTTAAGTTTAATAAACAACGTACCTCCAGTCCTAAGTCATTTTCATGTAATTACTTCAATTCTGGTAGTCATTGTCCTTTTACTCCTTGTAGGTACAGTCATGTCTGCAGGCTATGCGGAGGAAAACATGCACAGACAGTATGCCACACTGGTCAATAGTACCTCACCTCTTTATCAGATCGGCAATACACCATTAAATATCACTGAATTACTAAAAGCTTTGAAACTTTACCCATTTAGTGCAGCAAAAGACCTTATCACAGGCATATCAAAAGGTTTTCCCTTACAATACGAGGGCCCCCGGGTACACAGAGACTCTCCAAATTTACGCAGTGCCAGGGAACTCCCAGGGGTCCTGCATACAAAGATAATTAAAGAAGTACAAGTCGGTAGGGTAGCAGGCCCATTTCTCAGAATCCCATTTCCAACATTACAAATTTCTCCCATTGGTTTAGTTCCCAAAAAAGGCGGTGACTACCGTCTAATTCACCACCTGTCTTATCCCAGAAATAGATCTATTAATGACTATATTGATGAAGATCATTGCTCTGTGTCGTACTCAACAATTGATCAAGCGGCAGATATGGTTGCCAGATTAGGTCAGGGTGCCCTACTTAGCAAATCTGATGTAAAGTCAGCATTTCGCCTTCTCCCCATTTCCCCAGCAGACTTTGACCTGCTTGGTTTTAAAGTAATGGTCAGAGAAAAAGGTAAACCAGTTACTTACTATTTTTATGACAAAAAGCTTCCCTTTGGGTCTTCAATTAGCTCACTAGAGACATGACTCTGTTAGAGTTTTTTCCAGTTGTGGCAGCCATTGTTACTTGGTCAAATTCTTTTCGTAATAAGAAAATATTATTCCACATAGATAATCAAGCTGTGATACATATCATTTCATCTCAAACATGTAAATCTGAGAGAATTATGAATCTAGTTAGACATCTAGTTTTGGTTATGCTAACTCACAATATCTCTATTAAAGCCACTTATATCCCTTCTAGAAAAAACGTCATAGCAGATGCACTTTCTCGTTCACAGTGGGCCAGATTCAGACAGGCAGCGCCAGAGGCAGACTGGCAACCCACACAGATTCCATCCCACCTGTGGAACATCTAGATAGTCTTGCACAGCTATTAATTTCTAATTCAGTGGCTGCATCTACCCGTAAAACCTATGCAACAAGCATTCAAAAGTTATCCAACTTTAGAAATAACTATCAATTACCAGACACTTGGCCAGTCCCTATTAAAGATTTACTTCTTTTTATTGCTTATTACGCCCAGCAAGGTCTGTCCGCCTCTTCAATTTCTACTTATATGTCGGGAATCGGTTATGCCCATAAAGTGGGTAGTCTAACAGACCCCACAAAATCCTTCTTAGTGATTAAGGCAATTGAGGGCCTACGCCGCCTAAAAGGGAGGCATGTTAATGATTTAAGGGCTCCTATTACACTTACCTTACTTGATAAAATGATTTACAGTCTAAAATATATATGTAGCAACAAATATGAACAAGTCATGTTCACTGCAGCTTTCTCCTTGGCATTCTTTGGTTTGCTAAGAGTCAGTGAGTTCACAGTACCCAGCACTATATCGTCTAACCATAAACAGTTGTTAGTTAGTGATGTTCATCTATCTAATAACACAGTCTTTTTAAAAATTAGATGGTCAAAAACTGATCAGCTAGGTCTATCGGTCACATTACAAATTAAAGCTAATGGTGGGATCCATTGTCCAGTTAACAGTCTATCAAAGTACCTTAAGAACCGTCCCCATGCAGCCGACAGGGATAATCTGTTTATCCACTTCAATACCAAGCCCCTGACAAAGTATCAACTTTGTTCACTTTTACAGAAAGCTTTACAATTTATAGATGCTCCCGATCATGTCAGATCACATAGCTTTCGCATTGGTGGAGCAACATACCTCCACAGTATTGGGGTGCCCGACGACAGGTCATGGGACGCTGGAAGTCTGAGGTTTTCACTCGTTATATCAGGTTAAACCCCTAAATAATTTCCTTTTTCTCCTATCTTTACAACACATCAACCAAAAACTAACTGTCCCCAAGTTATTTCAGGTCACAAATGTCTCTGGATTATGGGGTCCTCCATTGTTCACTGGGCTGAAAGAACTGCAAGGCTGGATGACCCACAACTTGGTTTTACAAAGCATAACATGTCAGTTAAGTGGAAGGGATGCAGAGGTCTCGTTTTTGATGGTTTAGATAAACTCATGGACTCGATGTTAATGGAAATGCCAAAACCACAATTTATATTGATTCATTGCGGCTCCAATGATCTGACATCAGAGGGAGTCACAGGTAAAATGTTGATAGAAAAGATTCAGTGTTCAATCCTGAGATATCAAGCACTTTTCTGTAAAACTACAATAATATGGTCATCAATCCTTCAAAGGAGGTACTGGCACTATGCACCTCTTGGTGCTGGAAAGAAAATAGAAAAAAAACGAACAAGAGTGAATATTGCAATCAAATCCTTTATTCTTAAAAATGGAGGTCAATACATTGACAATAACAATATTTCTGCTAAGGAGGTAAACTTATTCCATACTGATGGAACACACTTGTCAAGCTTGGGTAATTCCATTCTTATCAACAACTGGAAGACAGCTTTGCAGTCTCTGATTAACAGTACACCAGACAATTCTTTACTAACATTACCAACAGCCACCCTATAGACATCATAAAAGCTGCGAATGTCATTACATGTTATGACTGAAATGAATATCAAAAACTGTTACATTCATTTATCTTAAAATGTATACTGTTCATTTATCTTAAAATGTATATAAGTAATCCTATTCCAAAACATGTTTACAATGTTGTTTATGTATAAATTTTATAATGGAAGAAAAAATGTTATTTTCTGTGGCGGCCCGGGGAGACGAAAAAGGGGGTTACGGGTACTGTCTGGCTCTTTCTCCTGGCCTGACTTGCTTGAAAGCATGCAGGTTCATTGTATGTATTAGTTTTATGTATTATGGTGGGGTGCACTCCAGGGTTCCGTTGGCACCCCCCTCCACCTCTACGTATGGAGGGGAGGCCCAGGGCAGGGCTACGTCCGGGACCCTCGTTGCTCAGGAGTCAGATGTAATCTTGGCAGCCCGCTAACACCTGTCCACTTAAGCGTGTTCAACTTTTGGGACTGACACCAGGTTGTAAACCTGGGTCACTGACTTGCCAGTGTAACAAGGCAGTTAGTAGTCTCCCCCGGGACTGGATAAAATTTATGGGTTTTGCCCGTCTGCAGCCAAAATTTCCGCCACAAGGTTATGAAGTACCTTAATAAAAGTATAATTGTCAAATTATCATGTTGTTTATCTGTTATTAGTTCTGGTCGCACACATAAGTGACTATGTGATGCCAAGTGTAAAATCAGTTATTGTAAACAGAGAGTAATATTCAAGTTCTCTTCAGAAGAGAAATAAAGATTGTGATAGCAGGGTGTCCGTAGTATTATAAAGGATGTATGTGATTTAAATATTATTATTGAAAAACAAAATGGGAAAAAATGGGAAAATATATCTATACAGTATGGTTACAATAAAAAGGGTACGTACAACTTTGGTTATAATTTTACTATTGTTAAAAGTTTTGAAGGTTCCATGACAACCGCCATATGAACACATCTGCGGATGTTTCAAAATTCCAAATTGTACCAGTTCATGTATAATGTTGAATTCTGCTTAAGCCGGTGCTAGGGGGCGTGGACGGTAACTTGCACTATCCAGTACCGTCCATGAACAGGCTCAATCAAACCGAGCCTGCAACATTGTCAATTTTGCCGTGTTGGGCTTTCTTTAGGGATTCTGTTTGTCTCTATTCTATTGTCAAGTCATACGCTAGAGTTAATGTTACTAATGTTATAGTAAATGCTACTACTTGGAAAGACAACAGCCATAATTTGGTCTGTATTAGTAATTAGTCGTATTGAAATCTCTATCAGCTGTTGACTTCAAAATTTGAAAGTGGTAAGGTTAACAGCAGCTTAACTGTAAATGTTACTCATTCCTATGCAAATTGGAATACCCTCAGTAAAATTTATTTGCCGTTGAATATTGTCTTATCAATAGTTTTTACTTCCTTGAAAAAATATTTAACCTTAGGCAGTAAGTAGCCTGGTGAATATTATTATTAATTTTTTAGTTTCTATTTCTAGAAAATGTGGTTTCTACAACGTTTTAAAACTTATATGCCTATAATCCTTTAAAGTACGCCGATGTTGATTGTATAAAGGCATAGAATGGCAATCATGCAAGTGAATTATGTTTGGTGAATATCTAAACACCTAAAAGGTGTGGTAAACGGAACTACACCGCTTCTTGCCGCCGACGGTAAATACCGAAAATGAGCGGATAAATACGTTTATTTCCGATGATGTAGTGGGCGGGAAAATGGGCGGAGCTTATTTTATCTCCTATTGAAAAACGTGTAAAGCTGGATTATGCTGATCCGAATCATGATGGTTCAACAATATAAAGCTTAGAATGTAACTTCTGTTTTGTCGGCGTATTCATGAACAATGAGTATTCGAACACTTGGTAGTGCTACTATCAGCAAACAGTTAATGTTTTGTCGTTAAACAAAATGTATTTTGTTGAAATGCATGTTTACAATGTTGAATCGGCAAACTCAATCCAAGAATGCAACATTGGAGTTTGCATACAAAGAAATACAGTTGTATTTTGGCCGTTAACAAACTGTTCAACTCAGATCAACAAGGCTGGATGTTTAGCAACTAATAGCCTCCATACATGATTACCCAGATTTTAAATTGTATATACATGTACTGAGGTTTCAACATTAACATTGGATTTTTTATTGACAATTAAAATTTAAATATTTTTTTCTTATTATAATTAAAATTTTTGTTTAGTTTTTAAATGTATTGGTTCTCTTTTATATCTTATTAGCATCAATTCTTAAGCGGAATGTTGTCACACTTCATAAAATGACGTCATTTAAGGTATAAGCATTTTGCAGCGCTTTTGAAAATGCTATTAATATGCAAAAATCAAATATATAAAATATAAGAAACAACCCGAAAACACACAATGCTTTGATATAGATGCACAATGCATGTGACTTTATTTTATTAAATTAGTTTTCTTACCAAAACATATTTCTGTATCAAAAAGATATGAATTTCTTTACAGTTTAATCACTTTTATATATGTTAATGATAGTAATTTTTTATTTACTACTTAGCGATAAGTACGTCGCTTTGATAATGTGAGAGTGACGTTACATTTTCTTTTGTACATGTACACTAAAGTTAACAACCTTTGTCTGAATAGGTAAAACAGGGTTTTTAGAAGCGAATCTAATGTAAGATAAGAAACAGAATTTGAAATGTCTTGATGGCAAAGTTAGTAAAGTCATTTGAATGTCATACACATTGAATTTTATCACGAGTTCGAGCCTCACATGTTGTCTCACATTTTTACGTTTTTCTTTCCATATATATATTTTTTTAATTTTTACATGAGAAAAATGAAATCGGATATAATGGTAGTTTTGTCATGATATTTAATAATTTAGATATACATGTACGGATGATAGTGGTTTTTACCCTGTATTGTGTGCTGTGTGTAGTAGTCATATTTCTTTTGCAGTGCAAGAGTATCTCATGCAAACTTAAGTATAGTTGAAACAGTCTGTGTACAGTATCATGCATTCTGTATAAGTTTACACCAACTTGCTTAGTAGGGCTAAACATAGCTACATTTTAAACAAAATGAGAAGTTCATAGACAATAGCACAGTATTCATAATTTTTACAAGAAATAATACAAAATTTTCTTACTTCATTGATAATAATTAAGCAATATTTTTGGGAAAAAGGTGCAATTCGAACCTGGCTGTCTTGCATTGATATTTACCACAGCTTTACCTACTGCATCACGCTGATAGTAAATTTGTTGATAATCTAATTTATATAGCTAGCTTGTTTGAAGATAATAAACACAATATGATAGCTGTTTTAGACCTGGATAGTGGACTTGACCACCTCGTCATTTAATGATTATACTAAACGCACAGGTACGCACAGTACCTGTGCGCGCACGTGAAACATTTTGCGTTGATACTTAAATGTTTCACGTGCGCACGTACTACTGTCGCATTCGCATGTATTAACTAAAATATTTCCTATGATGTTTTATGCAATTGTCACATATGATACGTATATTTTATTATCTGAACATGATTTGGTTCTATCAGATTAATCCTATAGGCAAGGGAGGATATTTTGATTTATAATTTTCGTGAGAATTATCGCTTTATTTTCAGTGATGGCACACTGTAAGAGATTCTATTGTCAACTTACCTAGTTAAACAGTCCTAACAATAAAAATTTTAATCTACATTATTGTATATTGAAGATATTCATTCGTTGCTGTGAAGTTGTGATGAGATAGTTTTTTTTTAAATAATTGAAACTGAAACAAACAATAATCCAAATTTGTAAAGATTTACGTTTTGATATTGATGAGAGGTATAGCTGTATATTCCGCCTTTTACTTAACTGGATGTCATTGTGCAAACACGGATCTACATCCAAGTAGCAAATAAAATATGATAAACAAAATCAACAAGGAAAGGCGGCGTTCAATGAACGCAACCCGCATATGACCCAGCAACAAGAACCAATGGCAAGGAGCCCAGGCGGACCCCAAACATAAAAAGGACAGGGCAAAGACAGGTTAATCATTAAATGATAAATAATTTGTAACTGATTAGGAATTCAAAGAAAATAATAATAGGCCCACAAAGGGGAAGGGGACAGGAGACCAGGGGAAGGGGGGGGGGGTTAATCAAAGAAATAAAAACTAGAGGCAATGGGGAAGATACTTACCGTAGACGAGAAAACAACAAGGGACACAAGCAAAAGTGTCACCAAAACAGTATGAAACAACATAGACATACATCTGAGGAACACAGTGGGGCGCCGCCTTGGAACGGTCAGCAGCATAATAATGACTGCTGGGGAGTTTAAACCGGTTAATGGTGCACCAAACCTCGCTCTTAGCCCCACCATGTTCCTATAAACGAGACAGTGTAAATAAAATAAATCCCCGCCAAGTGAAATTCTAACAGTTGTCATGGTTACAAAAGGTTAAATAAGTAAAACACTAAAATGATCATGTAGAAACATATAAAAGTAAACCCAATGACCATAACAAAAGTACTCAATGTCCTAAAGGAAGACAGAGCAACAAGAAAATCACCTACAAGGGCCCGACGAAGCAAGGCAGAAGACGAACATTAAGACAATTCAGTCCCAAAGGGCTTTACGAACTATCCATCATAGAGTCTCCCACTTGGTCCGTCACATGCAATCAAAAGAGGAAAGCGTAGTGTCCAACTGTAAAAGGGTTGAACACTAAACATGCAGTATGTCTCAAAATAGTAGGGTCATAACCTCTTTTAATAAAACGTCTAATGATTTTAGTAAAAACAGCAGAAAAATTACCATGACCCATAATCTTACGAAGTTTGTAAATCACATCGCCATAAAAAGCAGGCTGGCTAATCCCTTGTCGCAGAAGAGTTTTTAAACCACTATTGAATTTAGAAATTAAATCAAAGTTACGATTGTAAAATTTAGTAAAATATTTCCGTAATTTATGATAGCGGTAGCCCTGTTTTAGAAGCTTGCTGGTAATAAAAATATTCCGCTCGTTGAAATCCTTTACGTTGCTACAAGCTCTAGCGAATCTAATTAACTGAGAAATATAAACCCCGTAAGATGTTGCATGGGGTACGTCTCCATCTAAATGTGGATAATTAACTATACAAAAGTCAAAGTCATCTCTTTTATCATAGATTTTCGTGTGAATAGAATTGTTGTTGATAGTAATATGAAGATCCAAAAATGATGTACTAAGATTTCAAGAGTTCGTTTTATTAAGTTGTAGTTCATGCGGATAAATGTCAGACACCATTTGATCAAAATAAGGATTATCTAAATTAAAAATATCATCAAGGTATCTGGAAGTATTATTAAATGCGACTATAACATCTTGTTGTTTCTCTTCAGAGAGACTCAACATAAAGTCTCTTTCATAGCAGTACAAAAAAAAAATCGGCGACCAGGGGTGCACAATTAGTACCCATAGGAATTCCTATGATCTGTTTTAAATAGGGTATTACCAAACCTGACATAAATGTTGTCTAAAGAGAAAAGAGATTGCTCTACAAACTTCGTCACAGGTCCACATAGTATAATGTTTAACAATACTGTTAGTAAAAAAAGCTTTGTTAGAATTACATGCTAGAAAGGTAACTTTTTCCCGTGCAAAAGTTTT